GGATTACAGGCGTGTTGTTGTTAGCATTAGTAGCAGATAGACTATTCATAGATAGTGCTGCGTTTGATCCGTTCGATGTATCTCGTGTATGTTGGACAGGCAACATCATATGCTGGATGGTCGCAAGCTTTATTGTCTCGGTTACGGTAGTTACTGTCTGCAAAGTTGATGCATGTGGCTCGTCTGGCTTGACAGTCTTTGATTGCATGATTCCCCGAGCAGTATGCACAATAGATTTTATTTTGGCATCCCTGCTGGGTATGGCCAAATGCTTGACAGCGGTAGCACCTCTTAGTGTTGAAGTACTCTGAGATTCGATGTGCCCGCCAGCCGATGAGTAGTTTTCTGGAGCGCATGAGTTGTTGGAAAGCATCGGTATTACATTCGACAATCCACTTGACTGTGTTACTTCTTTCTTTGAGCCTGTACAGGATTTTGGCATTATTCTTGTTAATATGGAGTTCTAAACTGATGACTCGTCTAAGTTCCTCCTGTGTAACGCTTAATGGGATATTGTGTATAGCAACCCTGGGAAGCCTTGTGCTTGGGATCTTGGTTTGCAAGAATTCTTTAGCCTTTTCAGTCTGCAGTTTTTCCGAGAGTGCGTGAATGTCCTCCTTTGTATGGCAATCCACTGCAAGTCCTTCCTGCGGGATGTATCTTAATGCTGCTTACTTGAACTCCCAATGTGGGTAACGGAAATTCAGCAGTCAATTTTTCTTTTAACACTTTCCTGGATGTTGTGGACGGGTCTTTAGGGTAGATCAGCAAGGTGTGTTTAGGCTTTTGCGCCGTTACACTTGTGTAGGACTTTCGATTGTCTGTTGCCTTTTGCGCTAGATTAGATTAGGTGCAGCTGTGATGTGTTGCTGTTGACTTGCTAGTTCACACGCGAAAATACTGGATGTGTTGACTGCTTTATCGACGGTATCCGGAGGTGAAATATACTCAGATACTCCCAAAGCCAGAATTCGGAAGGCTTCAACAGTGTCTATCAGTTGCTTTCGCAAGCCTAGGGGTAGAATATTTTTGCCACCTCGAAAGGAAGTTGCGATCTTTTTAATTTCGTCAGTGAGTTTATCAATCTTCTCAGTATAGCTTATGTCCGAGGTAATGAATGTTTGCAAAGCAAATTCTCTCGAGTAAGTGGAGGAATCTGTGTCACTCATCGTATGGGAAAGGATCTAAGTTTTTTCTGTACAGTACTGCGTTTTGGTGCTGAATTTTTATATTTCTATCTGGAATACAGGAAAAAGTCAAATTTCTTACCTTGGCAGCAGTAGTTCATCTGTCCTTCATCTGTATAAAGGTATTCCATAGTAATCCAAAAGGCACATATAGACACTGAAACACAACACTGCACTGTAATAGGAAGTCAAACTACGTAATTTTGCAGCTTGAAAATTCTAAGTTAATAAATGTCGAAAAAATTATATCTTTGGAACCAGTGGGCCGATCACGACCAAAATTTGAAACTTCTGCTTCTGAAGATAGATGATGAAGATTGCCGTTTATTCCAGCATGATACAGCAATTAGGAAATCAATTAGCAGGCAGCTAATAAAGTGTCCACTTCATAAAAGGAAAGCCGTTGCGAATGTCCTTGACGAAAACGCGCTACCCCGAGGGGGGGGGGGGACGGTGGCCTCCTAACGGTCGAAAATGCAGCGTGAGCGAAAAAAGCGCTAAATTAAATGAGTAATTTCTGCATAATTATTCAACCAATTAATCCAATCTTGATAAAACTTATATCAAAATACTGCTGAGATGATCCTCTATCCGGCTATGTAAAATTCCGGCTGCTACGACGTAGGTCGGTGTATCCACGGGCTTGCGAAGTTGAGGAACACGGCGAAAATGGGCTCCAAGTCGTGAATGATAGTGTTAAAAACTTTGAAGTTCCATTAAAAAAAAACGACTAAATGTCGTAATGACACAATTTTTATATAAGTGTACTCCTGATGATGTTAGCTACACGTAGCAACTAATTTTACAGCGGTACGTTGAGAACTTCCGCTGATATTAGTCAAAACGGCGGAGCGACAAATACACGTCCTGACAGCACGGCACATAATGTAGAAACTCGTTCTCTCCAAGACACGAACACGGTGGTCATCTGCTTCAAGAGTGATGAAGTCTAATGGCAGCCATGATGTTGGGCTGCGACACCACTTCAGACGTCTCCGCCGATGTTGTGTGGTCAAAGGCAAACGTCTTAAAGGCCTCTGTGAGCGTAACCCCGCCTCAGAACAAGCGCCGTGACATGGTGGGCGTTAGCACGGGAAGTATATACATGCCTTAAGTGTGTTGAATAATCGATGATGATATCGTTGGAACGGTTCGGCCCTGGCGAAGAATCATCCTATCTTTCCTCGCATTTGTGCTCATTGGCCTGCTTTCTACAACCTTCATTTCGTCGGCAATTTCCTTGTAGTAACCATTGCTGGTAACATCTTTCCACACCAGTGTCTGTACTCTGCAGTGGCGGCTTATTGTTCGGTATGGACCCAGCTTCAGGCAACCCTACAACGCGACCACGTTCGAAGTCGTGTAGTTGTCTGTAAGATCTTCGATATCATCGTAATGGCATCTTTAGTTGCTTCTTCATGGAATTACAGTGGCAGAAACAAAAAAGATTATTTTTCGGCCTCTGTTACTGGTTTTATACTTTAAACTAGAAATGCGCGCTGTGATCGCAATTCCTGTACATTTGTCTTGAAACTTTGATCATTTGCATGTTCGATCAAGATATTTTTGCGTACAAAATTTCGTCACGATCGCAAAATACAAAAGAGTGTATCAAACCACCCAAGTTGTATCTAAAGGAAGAGAGTACTACATAGTGTACTTTCTAAGGAAAACTAGATCGTAATTGAGGTTACGTATGCGGAAAACCACTAAAAATAATTATACAGCCAGACTGTTCGCTTGAAATCGAACACCCAGTATTCAGCGGTTCCAGCACTCGGCCACTTAGCATTAGGGCGACAATGTGATTCAGGAGTAAATATGTACTTGAAGCGGTTAACACATAGATAAATATTTTATTTGCAACTCTTTTTTTCTTCCAAACGTGTCGCAACACAAAATCTATCAAAGGAAGTACTTGCCACAAACAAAAGTTTAGAAGCTTGAATTATCATTAGAATAGAAAGTTTGAACAGTGATTTCTAAGGTTATTCAGAGCCCAGTGTTTTATTTTCAAACATGATATAGATTCTTTTCGAAATAAAATGATGGTTAAGCCCACATTTTAGATATTTTTTCCAATAAAATGCTTTTACAGTCTGTAGTTCAGTGCTCTTTAATTTAATTTTTCACATAATATTGTGAACTTTAAAAATAAAGCATAAAAAACATAAAAGCATTTCATTATTTCGAAATAAAATGTCATTCCCTTTTACAATCATGTGTAGATTTTCTTCGCATTAACAAAGAACACAATATTAGCTTATTTAACAGATGGATAATTGTCACCATATCAGCTGCTTCAAAAATAACGCGTGGAATTAGCTAATTTTCGAATACATAAAAAAGTGAACATATAATTTTTTTGCGTAGAATATATGCACAAAATTTGAAATTAGTCCATAACAGACAACAGCTGAAAGAAAGAAGGTAATTAATAACATATTAATTATGAGAAGTAATATAATTTTACCATCCACTTCAATAGAGCACTTCGCGATTTCTGAACCTCCCAGCATAGACAAAATTCCATTTCTACCTGAAATTTAAATAAAAAAAGGCCTCTGTGAGCGTAAAACCACGTCAGGGCAAGCGCCGTGAGATGGTGGACGTTAGCACGGCAGGTATACTCGTGGCTGTAGTGCGTTGAATAGTTAAAAATGATAAAGATAACATCTTTGCTCACAAGTGTCTGTACGCTGCAGGTGGCGGCCTATTGTTCGGTATGACTACCCAGCTTCACGCAACCCTACAATGTGACCACGTTCGAATCGTCATGTTGTCTGTAAGGTCTTCGATATCGTCGTAATGCCATCTTTAGTTACTTCTTCATGGAATTACAATGGCAGCAACCAAAATAAATAAATAAATAAGTAAATAAATAAATTTTCCGCCTCTGTTAATATTTTTATGCTTTGCGAACTGCGCACTAGAATTGGGCGCTGTGATCGCAATTCCTGTACATTCGCCTTGAATCTTTGATCATCTGCAAAAAAGAGGATCAAAGCACACAAGTTGTATCTAAAGGAAGAGAGGAGTACATAGAGTACTTTCTAAGGAAAACTAGATTTAATTTGAGGTTTCGTATGCGGAAAACCACTAAAACCAATTATACAGCCAGACTTGAAATCGAGCACCCAGTATTCAGCGGTCTCAACACTCGGCTACTTAGCATTAGAGGGACACTGTGATTCAGGAGTAAATACGAACTTGAAGCGGTTAGCCCATAGATAAATATTTTATTTGCCATTCGTTTTTGTTACAAACGTGTTGCTTGAAAGTTCGAATTATCATTAGAATAGAAAGTTTAAACAATGATTTCTGAGGTTATTCGGAGCCTAGTGTTTTATTTTCAAACATGACATAGAGTCTTTTCGATATAAAATGATGGTTAAGCCCAGATTTTAGATATTTTTTCCAATAAAATGCTTTTACAGTCAGTAGTTCAGTGCTCTTTAATTTAATTTTTCACGTAATATTGTGAACTTTAAAAATAAAGCATAAAAAACATAAAAACATTTCATTATTTCGAAATAAAATGTCATTCCCTTTTACAATCATGTGTAGATTTTCTTCGCATTAACAAAGAACACAATATTAGCTTATTTAACAGATGGATAATTGTCACCATATCAGCTGCTTCAAAAATAACGCGTATAATTAGCTAATTTTCGAATATATAATAAAAGTGAACATATAATTTTTTGCGTAGAATATATGCACAAAATTTGAAATTAATCCATAATAGACAACAGCTGAAAATAAGAAGCTAATTAAGAACATATTGATTATGAGAGGTTATTAGAATTTTACCATCCACTGGACTATTGACTCCAATGTAGTACACCGCGATGTTTGCGTATCCCAGCTTAGACAAGAATCCATTTCTAACTGAAATTTAAATAACAACTATAGTAAATTTTCAGAGCATAAATATAGTAAATTTTGAGTAAACTTTCTGAAAGACTGGATATAAAAATGTATAACATTTATTTCATAGTTAGTAGAAATTAATTTTGAATGATATAAGGATATATTTAATAAAATTTTTAAACGAAGGTAGCATACATATTTTCACATTTTTTGGTCTTCTCAGTTCAATAATTATTAAAATGTAAAGAGAGAATTTTAAATAACCCAGTAAGTAACGCATTTTTTAATCAGTTATACTGTGTCACCAAACAGTTTATAAATTCTTTTAGGTTTCTTTTAATACTGCCGCTTCGAATGAGTTTGTCTACCCACTGCAGCCAACATTACTGTCTGAGACCGAAGAGTTCTATTTTCTGTTAAAATGCAGTTGATTGTACTTGAGTACTGCAACACCTTCAGGTGCAGGTAAAAGTGTTGGGAGCACGAAAACTTCATTAAAGATTTCACAGGTACAGCTCCCAATCACTAACCGAATAGAGCAAGGGAAGAAGGACAAAAGAAGAATAAAGCTGATGATAGTTCTTTAGAGGGGCACTTAGAAGTTTATTATTAAGAGAGGAGGACAGAAAGGGAGAAAGATTTTTTGAAGAAAAAGAAGAAAACTAGAAAAAGGATGATTAGAAGGGTTACTGTGGAGTGGGTAAATGAACTATTAGCCCAACAGATGAGACCAGATCTCGAAACTTTGTAAAATTTTGAAGGGAGGGAAATCTAATAAAACACGTTTTACATTAAGCTAGAATAGAATACATTTTATGACAAATTTAGAATACTAATTCAGAAGTCAAACAACAAAAATCAGCGTTATATTTACAAAATTTTCACAGGACTAGTTTCGATGGTTTTACCGAACCACCATCCTCAGCTGCAAAACCGCACTGTGAAAATTTTGTAAATATAACGCTGATTTTTGTTGTTTGACTTCTGAATTAGTATTTATTCGGCGTGTTATTGTGTCTTAAATTTAGAATAGTTCTTAAAAAAAAAACAAAAAAACAAAAAAAACAAAAAAAAACATTCAATTACAACACATTCAATTGGTCGCCTATCAGAGTCGAGCAGGGTCATGCTGAATCATATTCATGACCCTCATGGTCGTAATCATGGTCATGATGGTCAGGGCCGACGAACATTATCTCGCTGAAAGTATTACGAATCTCCTAAATCAAAGCAGGCCGAACGGGCTAAAGGCGAGCAGTCTGTCAAATTTCAGGACATGGTTATCTTATTCCTTACGATTGAGGAAATGAACCCCGAAGAAAATAATTCCAGAAGAAGCAGCTACGGCAATATACTAGTTGGAGGGAAATCAAATCTTCTTAATTTATTTCGTACAAAAACAAAGAATCAAAATTTTTTCAACGAAAATCTTCTTCACCAGTTAATTTAAAGAGAATTCTAAGCCTGATTAGAGATTTCAAGATGCTAAACAAAACAGTAGAAAATTCGATCCAGCGATAAACTTTGTTAGGAAATCGCAAATTAAATCTAGCAGTGCAGAGAAAACGTCAACTGGAACAGATCATTTCCCCTTTCCGTCATTTTATCGCTCAGGACTGATGCAGTAGCACTCATGGTTTTCACTCTTTGTTTTATTTAAGAAACCAGAAGTATTGGATCCTAAACATACATAGCAGATAATTGCAAATTACCAAAGAAAAATTGTTCACAGAGTGTAGTTAAGTCCTCTCTTATTTGATTTGTTGCAATTTTTTTTAGCTTTAATGTTAAATTCAAGAAAACATTGCAAGTAGATTTTTTGCATTATATACAAATTACCAAACAAATCTTTTTGAAAACAAAGCACAAACATACCTAGCATTTTCGCGCATTAAGCTGTAGAAAAATTATCATTAAAGACATAAAGTAAGAATTTAGAAATAATATTTCACAAAGACCAAAAATTGAAATTCATAATTAATAAATTTCCAATAATCATATATATGCAACTAAGAATTTTAAAATGTTACAACCAAAATATTTCAAACAAGCAAAACCCAACTTCCAAGCAGACCAATTCAGTCAACCTCAATGTCACTTCATCGGGAGGGGGGCGGAGTTTGAAATTAATTGTAATCTCTCTTCTACAAAAATCCTTGCTTTTCTGTATCTAGAACTAGCCGATGAACCATTTCAATGTATTTGAACTATAATAATTCACACAAGAATTCTGGCCCTTTCCCAAAGCAAGAAAAAAAAACAAAGTAAATTCCAATTAGAATAATTAGAATACTCTTAAATAAAGATATTTCTACCCTTTTAAAGGAATTAAAAACGAAAGTGAAAAAAAATGTGAAAAATCAAAAAATAAAAGTTAAAAATTTTTTTTTTTTTAAATTTTTTTGGGGAAAAAATTTTAAATCAAAATGTTTACCTTTAAACAGATAATCCAATGAATTAAGATGTGAGTGAATTCATAAAACATAGTTGGAAAAAAACCTATTTATAACACTAAAAAGGTAATTAAGAAATTCCATCGCTTTCATTAGACACTAGTCTAAACATGAGATGCGAAATAGTTCAGGTTTACCATTTTGGCTTTATTGGCGAAACTAAAAAAAAAAAGTAATCGCTCAAAAGTCTAATATCTTGTACGTAATATGTAATTTTGAAACCAGAAGAAAAACTTTTAAATATTTCAATGAAATTTCTTTTAATTTTTATTCAAAGAAAAAGATTGCATATTAATTAAATTAAATTAAATTAAATTCTTATTCTTGTAAAAAAATGGGAATAAATAATACAATTTAGTGTCAAACTTTAATTAAATTTTAAAATCAATTAATCCTTAATAAAATCAAAATGTTGCCTCAAAACTGATCATATTGTTTATAATAATTGTTTTGTAGATATGAGTAATAAATCTATAAAGTTGAATTTTAGTTTTCAAATTTTGTACTTAAAAGTTACAGAAAAAAGTTGAAAAAGAAAGTAAAGGAACTATGTTAGAAAAGTAAAAAGTCTTCACGTCATGGGCTTCTCATGACGACTTTGAATATATATAAGGCCATACAAAAAATATGTAAATCAAAATTATAATTTAAACTAAAGGTAACCTCTTTTTATACTTAATATCAAAATCATACATAGATAATTTATGTATCAGAGACCATCTGAATAACCTATCTGTAGGATGTTTAACATTTTTAAGCCAAACTAGAGCAGCATGACCAGTACGTATAGTAAAATGATTACCATGTAAATATTAATAAAATTTATGGATATCGTCAATAATAGCTAAACACTCTTATTTAGTTATTGCATACTTTTGTTCATAAGACCTTAATATTCTAGAGTGAAAAGCAATTGGACGTAGGTTACCGTCTGGATATTATTGTTTTAAAACTGTTCCAACAGCTTCTTTAGAGGCATCAACAAGTACATGACATGGGTACTTTGGATTAAACAAAGTTAAGATAAGTCTTGAAATTAATGCATCTTTTAAATTTTGAAAAGCTACTTGGCATTTATTAGTCCACCTATAGGGAGTATCTTTTTTAAGTAAATTCGTTGAAGGAGCTGTAATTTTAGCATAATTTGGAATAAATTTGTGATATACATTAATACTTTTTAAAAAAATTTGTAATTCCTTTTAACATATTTAGGGGGGATGTAATTTTTAACGACTTCAATATTTGAATTACTTAGTTGATACTCTCCTGCTTGAACCTCATATCCTAGAAAATTTATTTTTTCTTTAGCAAAATTTCACTTTGACTGTTTTAATTTTATATTCTCTTTTTCACCTATTTCAAATATTATTTTAAGATGTTTATAAAAATTTGGGAAAATACTATGATATCATCAAAATAATATGAAGCAAATTGAATCTGATATTTATTTAAAATTCGTCAAAGGGCTCTTTGGAAAACAGCTGGGGAATTTTCCCAACCGAAAGGTAATCTATTAAATTCGTAAAGACCAAAATTTGTAGTAAATGCCCTTTTTTCAGTATCTTTTTCATTTATTTTGATATGCCAATAACCTGATGTCTTGCCTGTTCAATGTGAAAAAAATGTGTGCATTTGTTACTTGATCTAATACAGCATAAGTTCTAGGAATAGACCTAGAAGCAGTTTTAGTAATTTGATCAAGTTTCCGAAAATCAATACATAATCTAGATTTTTGTCTGTTCAGCTTTCTTATAAAGTAAAGATACACAGCTGCAGCATAAGGACTATAAGAAGGTTTTATGATACCAGCATTTAAGAGTTCATCTATTTGCTTTTAAATTTCACTATTATCTCTGGCAGCGGGTCTGTATGAAGCAATAGGTAATTCTCAGGTTAAAATTTCTCTTAGAGGTTCCGTATTAATACAACCTGTTTCATATTTATTTTTAGCAAATATATAATTACAGTTATTTAATACAATTTAAATTTGATCATTATCAAATTCACCATTTTCAACATGGTTATAAAAACGTTTAGAATTTGCATTATTTTGATATAGAAAATTACTCTGAAGAAATTTATTCAATTGAACACTTTTACTTACTATACGCTTAAATTGTTATACTTCATAATTATTAAAATTTAATTGTAATTTAAATAAGGAAACACAAGATAACGACAATAATAAATAAATTAGAATTTACAAAATAAATTAGTATTTACAACTATAAAATAAAATACAGACAACATACATAAACAACATAAAATAGTAGTATTAATTTATAAACAACATAACATGGTAATAATTAAGAAACAACATAAAATAGTAATAATTAAGAAACAAAATAAAATAGTATTACTAATTTTAAATAAGTTTTAAAAAATAATTTAGCATACCACAACAACTTAATTATTTCAGTTACAATAAGACCTCCTACCATGAACATAGTCTAGGATTAGAATTATTTTGTACTACTTCAATTTTTGCATCAATGGCAAAATTTTCTTATTACCTAGAATACTTTACCTTAAACCAAGTGCCCTTTTTTTTTCGAAATAGTTTGT